TTATTTAACGGCCATAAAAATTATTTATATTAATGATGTCTCCAAAGGTCAACGAAGTTTTCGCAGAAAAATAATATCAGAAATCGCGGCCGCAATTTGATGCGCTGTTCCGCGACGAAACCAAGCTTTAGCAACGAGCGTAGTCAAAGGGTACACACTCGGTAAGTAATCCTACAATTTTTTGTTTATAACGTAGTTTATACGGATTATTTTTTAAAAAATATACGTATTTTGGAAATGTTGAGTCGAATTAGTCTAGAATCGATTAATTTTATGAAAGAAAACCTTTCAAACAGCCGTAGTCCGTAAACTATGATTCCTACAAAATTGATTCATAAAGAACGGAACGTATCTACCGTCTTATAGGGGGATCTACTGTATGTGTCTTTTTTATACAACTAAAAAAAAATTGGGAAGAGACCTCAATTTTTTGTTAGTTTAGAGCCTAAAAAAATATAAATCTGGCATTGACTCTATTGTCTTTTGAAAGGTTTCTTTGCTGTCTTACCTGATCAAATTTACTCTTATACTTTTCCCTAGGCTTTTTTTTTTTTTTGGACAAAATAGTGAATCTTTTTAAATCCAATTATAAAACATAGACAAATTGTATGTTTGTTACATTAGTTATAACATTTTCTAAATAATGGGCTGGTTAGATTGTTACTTCCAATTGGATAATAGAATGTCATGTGGTCAATATGAAAAGATTTTTTTTTTAAATTTGTTATAGAAGTGACACAATGCAGCTATCATTTTTTAAAGTTTAAATTTTAAATTTAATGAAGGTAAGTTTAAAATATGCCATTTGCCAAAATATTTAAAAATGCAATTTAAGGGAAATTTCCTCATCAAGCATGAATGTCACATGGTCACTGACATCACTGCATCGTAAGTGTGATCACTGATCCAAAATCAATATATTCAATAAAATCAATTCAAAAACGTTTATTCTATGCCTAATATTTCCACAAAATAAGTAGCCTATACTTTCCATCAGAATATAAACTGAATATAACCAAAATTTCATCTGGATCGGAGAAAAATTGCAGGAGTTATAAGGAATTCACACACACACACACACACACACACGACAGCTTTTATATTAGTAATATATAATTTAATTATTTTTAACAACTAATATTTAACAATTTATGCTAAAGAAATATGGCATAAAATAATGACTCATTTTTATTAATCAAAAATCAAACAGGGCAAATTAAGGAACCAAAAAATTATTTTTTAAAATATTTTCAAACTTTCAATCATCTTGGATCATTAAACTTATCAATATCAATAAAATTGTTCTTTAATAAAATGTATAATTAAGTTGGCTGAATATAATCATTAATAAAAAAATTATTTTTTGATACTAATGGCTAAATGAACTTTTAAATTAAATTACTAAACCATGAAATATTCAAAATCAATGGTAAAACCCCTATTTGTAAATTTTTTGAATTATTAATAAATTTCATTAGCTACATTATCATCAAGATTAAATATTTGTATCATAATAATTTAGCCGGTTAATTACATTTAATAAAAATAAAAAGATAGAAAATCTATATAAATCTTAAAATTTTCAGTTTTCCATTCTTATTGTTGTAATTAATTAAATTATGAATTTTTATTTTTGCTTTCAGACATAGTAAATTTATAATCTAAAAACCTATTTAAGTAACTTTTTACCGTAAATCTTTCTCCTTCTAAAGTTTCTCCATCTTTTTCCCATTTAATTTCAGGCTTTGGAGCTCCAAATACATTGCAGCGTAATGTAACTGTAGAACTAACAACAGCCATAGTTACTGGTTCTGGTCGTTCAATAATTGTTGGTGGAAGAGCTAAAAAATAAACACATTTGCATATAATTAAATGCATTATAATACACATTTATTAAAATTACAGTTGTTATTATGTAATGCATCTATTCTGTGAACACATGTGATAAATTCATCATTGTTAAATATATTTTAATTTTTTAATTATAATCCTGTTTAAAAATTTTTATTGTATAACACAAAAATTTAATAATCTCATTACTATAATATATAAAATTTCTATTTTAAATAAAAATATACTTGAAGTTTTAGCTAACCTTTATCAGCAAATATTATGTGATAATATGAATTTTTATTTCATATATAACTTTATATGATTATGTAATTTCATATAATCATATAATGTTTTGACAAATAATTCATTTTCTAACAAATAATTTGGAAATATTTAAAAAATGTCTGTTTTCATTTATGTAATATATGATGAAAGTAAACATTGAATATTTTTTAAAATATATCATATGTACTGTACAGTACTATACAAGTAGTTGATGTAGATATACTTACCCAATACATTTAAGTAAAAATCTGCAAATGCATAACCATGCACATTAGAAGCATTGCATTGATAAACGGCAGTATCAGTTTTTTCAAGATTTTCGATTGTCAACATATTTCCATCAATTTTTCTTCTTGGATTTGGTTCAGCATCTGTAAGTATATTTTATTTATTTACATTAAAATAAAATATCATTAAAAAATCTCTTCAAATATTTTATTTAATTTTAAAACAAGATTTTTAGAATAAAAATAAAAATGTACTGTATATATTTTGGCATCTAAATACAAAATTTTGTGTAAATCAAATACTGTAGTAAAATTAAGAGACTGTGTCAAAATGGTACATATAATAAAATATATAATATATATATATCAATAATTATAACAATTTATATTTATATAAAAAATTATTAATAAATTACCAATTAAAATGCTATAATTTTGCAAATGACTTCAATTATCCATGAAAGCAGAATAAAATAACTCATATTTACAATATATCATATGAAATTATGAGATTTCCTTTACAACAGCTATTAAAATGTTTAAATAAGTTATTTCTTTAAAATTTTGATTTAAGAACACAGATAAGAAAATATAAGTGCATAAATTTCAAATTTTAAAATATAATTTGCAATGTTCTCTGCTTTTATTTGAATTATTTCTATATTAAAAATTTTAATTAAAGTATTTTCGTAATATAAATAAGATGTGGCTATTTATATATATATTATGTGTAAACCAGTCATGAGCTACGCTTCCTGCTAGGTAATAATGTAAGTTCGCTGACCTGGTGGAGATTGGAGACTTAAAATCCCACTTCTCAGACACCAGTGTAAGTTCACCGAATTTCAGGGGGGAATCGTTAATCCTGAGTCAGGATGATCTAGGGTTGTTTGCATGTGGGCGCGGCAGAAGAGACATATATGACAAGAATCTCACAAAAACCAGTTTATTTTAAACATAAAATAACTTACACTATGAAACAAAAATGTTCTTTAAACAATTGGATGTTTGAATCGTTGAGGATGTTTTCTAATGTTGCTCGAAGGTAGGCCCTGGGGCAGTGGCAGGTGTAGAGATTCGTCAGTCGGTATCGGCAGTCTGAGTCCATAGTCACAGGTTACAAGTTGGGCTCAACAGACAGAAAACTGCTTTTGCACATTGACTAACCATGTGCTGGTGTATAGTTGTACAGTTTACGGTAAGCAAGTCTGTCCTTGAAGATCAGAGATTATATCAATCGCTGTTCTCTAATTTGTTTATTCTGATTGGCTCCGCGTCCCTTTTTCTCGCTCCCCGACTGGTCCCTCGACTGTCTCTAAGCAAAAGACGAGTCTGTCCACATCATGAGAAAGATCCGCTTTGAAGAATCTACTTGACACCAGCCATTAACTCTGGATGGAAAGTGCTGATGGAACTTTGGAACCTGCGCTCATATTTTTCCTCCATTGTTGTCTAGTCTGTGGCGTTTTTGAAATTTAACGATTTGACACAATGTCCCTTTTCATCATTAACCTTTCCCCTTTCCAAAATTTCTATGTTCTAATTATTTGTATACAAGAGACTTGTCAAAGGTCCATCTCTACTGGAGGACGTTCATTTACAATTACTAATCATTTATAATTATTGCATTCTGTTTACATCAATAGCATTTTTTCTTCTCTCATCGCGGTTTCTTATGACTAGTACAACTAATCCGATCTTTGATCGGTTTTTAACAATGGACGATTTTTTTTAGTTTCGTTTTAATAAATTTCTAATAATAAATGTTTAATTTCAACCCATTTTTGGAACCTCACAATAATATACTGTCCCATGACTTTGGCAACATAATTTTATTTTCCAGTTTTCTGTGTCATGCCATTATGCAATCCCAATTAAGCTGATATTTATGAAAAAGAACATTCAAATTACATTTGACTAGTGAAAAGATGAGAATAAACTATATATTACTAGTTTACATATCATTAGAGTATATAATTTTAGTACCTAGTGTACTGGAAATTAGGTTGGCATGTATTGGTACTCACAAGCTTAAAGCCTGCAACATGAAGAAAAAACACGTATGAAACCCACTGAAAGCATACAAAATTTCCTTGTGACCCTCGTCCAGAAAAGGTTACTCATCACTGGTGTAAGCTATTGCTAAACATCCTATTTAATTAGTAATTGTTTATAAAGCAAGTGATAAGAAACTACTTGTCTAGTGTAGTGTCTCACAATAAAGTAAACTCATTCTTTTGTAAATAAAAGTAAATTTTGGTGCAAAATTTCAATAGTAGACTAAAGCATTTTTGTAACTGTTTGAGCAAACATTTTTTCTTCATCTTAAGATTAAAACATACCAAAAACATATGTGAAATTATTGGAATAATTCTAAAATCATTCAGGATATTTCAAATATGTTTAATAATCTATTGTGGCAGGATGCCAAATTCTATGTATAGTTTTATTTTATTTTATATTATAAATTTATGAATTTTTTCTTTCAAGTCTATCCCTATCCCTTTGTTTCTTTTGTTTTCAATGCTTCTAGAAATTCTGACCCAACTCTTCTTCCGAGGGTGTGGGTGACGAACAATAGAGAGAGAAAGGCCCTGAGAGCAAAATTTGTGTGAATTTTATTTAACCCATTTTTTCAGTGAGGCACCAAAGAAGTAAGACTTGTTCGAAGCAGGCTCCAGGTTGTTAAGGCATCGGCGGGAGCTATAGAGTGTGGCCTTAGAATAGGAGGTTAGCACATAGAAAAAAGGACCGTGATTAGAATTGGAGAGTGTGGAGATTTTTTGGAACAAACCCCAAGTTTATTATTGAGAACGAGAGATCCAGAGACATATTTGTAAGGACACCATGATTGGATTCAGGTTGCCTCATCAAGAAACACATGGAGGTACAGGTACCCTCTTTCCTATAAACTCTTCTTTCTTTTCTTAATCTTGCTCTATCTACCTATTTTCTCTGTTTAGTGTTAAGTATGTTAAGGTTCTAGATTTAAGATAATTCTATTCACATTAAAAAATATTTGAATGAGCCGCAAGTGTAATATATGTAATCTCCTCATAGTAGTTGTATGATTTTGTAATATAAAATACTATCATGTAAAGGAATACACCATTTGAGAGATGTATCAAGGTTGGAACCCAAATTTCCTTTCCGTTCAGACATGAAATAAAGTTTTGTTCTTTGTGTATCACACTTTTGTCATAATTCCCTTTGCACTGAGCACCACACTATTAGTTTTCATTCTAATAAATCTATTACTAGCATTTTATAGCATCAGACATTAGGAACTAGACAATTCATTCAAATTAAATCTAAAATATGGATTAAATATAAATTTACTAACCTTCTAAAGGTACTCCATTTACAAACCATTTCAATGTTGGTTCAGGAATTCCTTTTGCATTACATTCAAATTTCACTACTTCTTCTTCAGCTGCATTAGTGTCATTTGGTGAAGTTAACCAATAGGGTGAAGCTGAAATATAGAAAATGTTTTCAATAAAATGACACACATTTTATAATATTTTTTGTAAAAAACATTTATAGTATATGCTAAAACTATTAGTATCACAACAAAAAATTAGAAGTTTTTAATATAAAATTAAAAATTTCAAAATTTTAATTTAATATTTTACATTTTATAATATATTCTGTTAACAAAACTGGATATTTTATTTTTATTTTAAAATTAATACAATGAAATATTTTACTAATTTGCAATTTATATATGATAGTTGTCTCTTTATCCATTTTACTACTTTATGATAGTATTATTATGTGCAAATTAGATAAATTAGGATAATTGAAATTCTATTTAAAACATTTAATCTTTCTACTTTAATGATGACAAATGGGAATTTAACAAAATAAGATTTTAAACATACTATATGAAAGTGTTAATAATATTTTATTTTACATTTAGAATTTTTATATAAATTATACCTTGTACAGTAACAGCCATTGTATGAGTTTGTGGTATTCCGACATCATTGTCAGCAACACATTCATAGGTGCCTTCATCTTGAAAATCAACTCGACGTATATTCAGTGTTTTACCATAATTTTTATATGCAATTCGACCAGTTGGAAGTTTTCCGCCTCTCTTTTTCCATGTTATAGTTGGTAAGGGTCTATTATTAAAAATATACAAGGGTCTATTATTAAAAATATACAAATATATTTATTTATTAAAAATTTTAATTTTCAAAATTAAAATTTGTTTGGTAACTAAATTATTTATAAAAAATCTTTCAATTATTAAAAAATAGATATCATAAAATTGTAGTTTAGTTTCTTTTAATACAATTTATAGATAAATTAAAAGAAATTAAACTGCAAGGAGGCAACTATGTTACTGTTTTCAACTTCGTCTCAATGTTCCCATCAGCCACTGAACTCTTGTTTTTGTGTGTTAAGAGATGCTTTATTCAGGATTACACCATCTCCAGAAAAATATATTAGAACTAGCCTATGCTATATATCCTATATATCCTATATATCCTATGCTATATATAGTTTTTTAAATTCAATGACAATTTGTTCCTGCAAAAACAAAGGAGTACTGACAGACAGCCCTTTATTGGAAGCTTGTAGTAAGATGCCTCAAGGCTAAAATCATATGTGAGCTTCTTCTTAATATTTGCCTATATACACACTATATAGATGATATCTTAATCAAATGGAACTCACAACCAGACATCTATAATAGCATCCTAACAATTTTTAATGACAATCTGTATAAGCTCACAATAAAATTAGATCAACAGAGTGGCAAAGAAGCTCACTTCTTAGACATAATGATAATCCTGCAAGATACTGGGGTGCACACTTCTATATTCCATAAGACTTCATATGTCCCTATTTTTATTCATGTCACATCCTGTAATCAGCCTCAATACAAGATTGCAGCATTCAGATCACTAGTGAAGAGAGCCTTTATTGTTATACGTCTGAATATTGTTCAAATACGTCTGACACCAACAGAGATGAAGTACATTATAGACATAGCTAGACGACATGGTTTTAACAAAACTCTCATGCCTGCTTTAGCTAAACATTATATAAAGGATGGGCCACACAATGCAACCCTTACAAACAATAGAAATCAGGCACTACAAGAAACAAATAACAGGAAAATTGTAGTTGATTTCCACCCTAGACTGGTTGCTATGTACAAACAAATAGTGCATTATACCAATCACTCAGTTGCTTTCAAACATAACCATACAATCTTCAAATTCCTCAAAAAAAAAAAATAATAATAATAATAATTATGATATTAACACATTGGGAGTCTACTCTATACCGTTGTACAATGGCAGATTTAATAATAGTCTCGTATATATAGGATCTAGCAACAACAGGACCTGGACACACAGATTGGCTGAACATAAATATGGCATTTTAATACCACTACAAAGATAACTAACACTCTAGCACAGCATATGATGGAGCCCAAGGTGTCAGTAATATGAGAAGAGACAAAATTAATTAAAAATATCAGTGGCGTGCTGTCATTAGAAGTGGTGGATGCACCGCTTCCCTTGTATTTTCTAAAAAATAAATACATATTAATTTTAATTATATGAAAATAATTGCACAATATTTTATTACAACCACATTATGTATCTCATTACAAATTTCTATACTACACGTGAAAAAAAAAATAAGATTGCTATTGTATATTCGAATATTAGTGGCAGAGTATCGGAGTGAAAACGCTGTATTGTCAGCATCCAAAAAGCCAAATTTGCACATGCGCTTTACAGAGCACCAACCTCACCCGGTTTAGCTGGTGGAAGCCTAGGACCTTGGGTGGATGCTACACGTATACTGCATCAAATTCTATCCAGAACAGGTTCCGGGCTGTTAGCCGCCCCCGCCCGCTAGATATTTGGCCACCCTCGCCCGATTACGCGAATCACAGATAGATTTATAACTTAACCCAACCGATAAGAATTTACCTGTATGTTTTTATGATAGTTTTCTGTATAGTTGACAGGAGTTTTAAAAAATCCGTTAAAATATTTGATATATTTATTCCGCTCTCCAATTTTATATTACTCACGGATTTCAATGTTAAACCAGTGATATTATGATTTCGTATGTCCTATCTTTAAGGGAATGTAGAAAAAAAACGTGTACAATTCTTGTATAATGTTAAAAAATTAACTGTTACTTTGATAGCATAATTTACAACTAAATTTAATGAATGAGAGAGATGAACAACGTACAGAAAAAGCTCTAGAATTTATTTTCCTTAAATTTACGATTTATGTATCCGTTTGTCATAAAAATTTCTTTCCACTTTTTCCCAAGACTACAAATATTTGAGTACAAAGTAACTGGTTTTGACTTATTTCTACTTAAGAAGTAGTTAAATAATTAAGCGATTAGGGAATTGGGGACATAAACAAAACCCTGATGAAAGAGCCGGAATTTTACTTAAACAAAAGCTTAACCGAATCAATCTCTAGCCGAGTACAGTGGGGACTGATTTCTTCGAAATACTGTATTAGATGTAATAAAGACAGAAATTTTTCCAGTTCGACGAGAGTGACCGAAAAGTTGTAAATTTTGGAAATTTCCGTGGACAACACCTGGTCCTAAAACGAATTAGTTAGAAAACAAAAGACGGACAATCTATTAAGTTTAACATATTTAGACTTTTACAGCTATGGTGAGAAACGTTTAAAATTTACAAGAACCCTGTCGCGTCTTTTGAGGTATATTAGTGATGCGACAAAAGAAACATTTGACATTGCCAAATCCCGAGGGTATCGGCACCCTCGGGATTTGGCAGCCCGCGTGCATGTACAGTACACACCGCACACCTAGCAGGACCGTCTCTGATTCCACTCGTAGGGAGCTATTTGACTAAGTGGTTAAGATTTAAAGAGTAAAGAATATTTTATGTTATTTTCATGTACGTTTCATTACAAAGTTATATTTAATTATAATTTTCTTTAAAAGTATATTCATACAATTGAAGAATGTTTTGTACCAGGTATGTATATCCACCACACATTTTATTTCACCAAGTAAGTTTTTATAATTTTATTTTTAATTTTAGCCCTTATATCGTGGCTAGCGATTCGGAATGTAATTGCGATATTGAAAATTTATTTTAAAAAAGTTTTGGCTCGAGATCATATAATGAAAAAGAAAACATTATTAAAAGAGAACGGCCAATGCCTAAGTTAAATATAAACGCTTCAATAAAAAAATTTGTTCGATATTTTCACGATAAAATGGCTCTGTAAATGCATAAAAATGCATTTACAGAGTGAAATTAGTGTGTGGAATAAGAATGTCTTTGACAATTTAGCTGGCAAAAGACACGAAAAATCGTCGATTCTTTCGTATTTGAAGCAATTTGGAAATCGAAGCGGAATAGAATTTAACATTAGTAAATAATATAAAATAAATATTGAAAATTGTAACGAGATAATTATGGGTAATAGATATATTATATCTAAATAAATAGATGTTATATGTTTTTATCAAAGCAAGAATTGGCATTTAGAGGGCATATGGAATATATTGGATCTAATAACAGAGGTAATTATATTGAACTTGTTTGTTTATTAAGTACGTCAGATAAATAATCTATTAAAAATACATTTAAAGAAAGAATTAACTGATTGCCCCTGGAAGTCGGCTTCTTATAGAAACACAGCTTCCCTATCATGAAATGTCACAGCACGCCACTGAAAAATATATTAAACTTAGATAAGCTGAGAACACTGTAGGCATAGGAAATTTATAAAAGTTTACAACAAGGAAGATCTATAAACAGCAAGCATACAGAAATAATTTCCAACACATGGAAAGCACTTGTAGACAATCCTATACATGGAAATATGTTTTAGGAACATACATATGCAAGCAGTTATACTTTCAGCAATACTTTAAATTAATTATGTATGAGCCATAATTTATAATTTTCTATGATAATTTATTATGAGGTGTTAAATTTGTTGTGTTTGGACATTAATGATGTTGATTAATGACATAATTGAAAAAAGGACATTTAGTTAATTTAAATAGAACTTGTTCCAGAATATCTTTCAAAAGTGTTCCAAATTGAAAACTTTGGCAAAAAACTCTTCAATAAAAAGCCTGGCACTGGCCCTGAAAGAAGCTAAAAACGTTTGCTTTTCATTTATATCAGAAGTGCTGGAAATGTGAGAAAAGGCCAGTTTAATATCAATTTTTTTTTTTTATATAGATTTGTCATTGTTTGAATGTACTGTAGATATAAAAGTTCAATAAATGGGAATCAATATAAAGTATTTAAACATTGACTTGGAAATCTACACCCAATGAGTCCAAGTTGGGTTCAAAATACTAAAGTTTGCCAAATCCTGATAAAAACCGTAATACAATGCAACAAAGTTAATTAGATGTATTGAACCTGTAACTAATATTTCTTATTTTAATTAATTAATTATTAAATTTTATTAACAAAGATTCACAAAAACATACAGGTAATCAACTACATTCAAAGGAATCAATTTTATTGAATTATTGAAGGAAGAGATTCAAATATTATGTGAAATTGATTTTATTTATTTAATTTATTATTAATTCATTTTACCATATAAAATTGAAATTAGAATGATAATCCAGATTGATCAGCACTCCAGAAAGTAAGTTTTTTTCTTTTTTTTCATTTTGGAGCACATTAAGTGTTCCAATGTGAATAAATTGCCAATTAGTGGCATGATCTTATGAATAAACTAATCAGTTATTGTTATATACAGTGTGTGTTTATTGCCCATTAAAATATTGCATTTAACATTTAATTACTGTACTGCATGATTAATGAGTGCAACTGGTTCTTTAGACTTAAAAATAAATTTGTAATGCACTACACTTTTGCCTATTTTAAGTATAGATGGTTGTAAGTCAGTTGATTATAAGTGAAGACCGACTGTATCTATAGAAATAATATTTAGTTTTTATGAATATATTATCTTTTCTGTTTTGTACAAATCAGATTATCTTATATCCATTTTTATAGTAAAATTTTGAATTTTTACTTACGTTCCACCAAATATGCAAAATAATTCTAATGGCTTATTACGAAGAGCTACAATATTTGCAGGTGAGACATATTGTTGTCGAAGTGCATGAGTTCCTTCTCCAGTAACTGAAATGTATCAAGAAAATAATTATGATTTTGAAGTAAAAAAAATTTGATTAATATATATGGAATACAGCATATTTAGTATACATGCATTAATACTATATTTATATATAACTTCTTTGTGTACACCAGGGTGTGTGTAATAAAAAGTTCAAATTTTTCTTTTTAAAATTGCATGACAGTGTTTTAGAATAAGGAATCAGCCATTTTACCTGAGGGAAGGACATGGAAGGTGTTCAGAAAACATTTGTTTTTACAAAGTTGTTTATTTTTTGTATTTCTACACACTGGTTAGAGGCACAAGGAAGTATGTTTTTTATTTAATAATATATATACGTGGGGGACCCAAAAATAACAGGATTTTTTGTATAAAAACTTTATTTATTAACTTTTTTACAAAATTTCTTCAGTCACCTTCAAAGTACTCTCCATTAGATGCGATGCACTTGTGAAGTCTTTTCCCCCAATGTTTGAAGCATCTCTGGAACTCTTCAACCTTGATATCGTCCAGTGCCCTTAGCGAAGCTGTTTTTACTGCTTCCACATCATCAAAACGCTTCCCTTTTAGATTTTTCTTCATTCTCAGAAACAAAAAAAAATTTGCATGGGGCTAGGTTTGATGAATACATAGGGTGGGGAACAACAGGCCATCTTTGAGAGGCCAAATAGTGAATCAGTCATAAGGCTGCATATGCAGGGGCGTTGTCGTGATGAAGGAACCAGTCACCTGATAGCCAAAGTTATGGGCGTTTTCTTTGCACATCCTCTCGCAGACGTCTTAACACTTTTTTGGTTGATTTTTTCAATGTTTTCATTGTTTAGAGATGTTGAAGGATGCCCAGAACTTTGTAGGTGGAACAAAATAACAGTAAGAGAAACACAACACTACGCTCAAACGTAAACATACAAACTGACGCCGTTTGCACAGCTGTTTCATGAAGGTCTCTACTAACCCTGTGTAACGGGAGAACTCTCTACTATTTCTATGAATGGCAGCACACTCTCAGTTTGGTTTTTTTTTAATCCCCCCATACATTTTACTTAAATGCATGTTTTTATTGAAAAAGCAAGCAGAAAGCATTTTCATAACTAATAAGTTTCATTTTGATGTCATTGATTTTATCATTTTACTGTATATTTTATCAATCTGCACTAGAAGCCATGAAAAGCTGCAAATTTCCCACCAATGGGTTAAGTCAAAGAGTATAAATTACATAATGAACATTATAATAATATTTTATTCACACTTATACATTATAACAATATTAGAGTCATATGATATATGATGTATTATATGTTCCTTATGCAACCTGCAATACATCATATGGCATAATGAGTCCTTCTGAACCTGGATGTAACCTTCCAATTACAAAAGGTTTTCCACCTCTGACAATCTTTTAGTGTGCTATATTCACAAATTAAAAAACAAAAGTTCTAAATGTTTGTTTTTGAACAGAAAATTTTGTCTGTTAAATTCAAAGTCCATTTAAATTGGAGTCTATGTCAAAGATCTTCTGTGTAATGAAACTGTAATTGTAAGAAGCACTAGCACATATCATTATCCCATCCAAAACAATCTGTAGAAAAATGTTACAAAAATTTTTTAGATAAGAATTTTAATTACATACATTATATTTGGACCATGCAAATGGGATGCTCTGAATATGCCTAGATTGGGAAATGTGTCCTAATCTAGGAGCCCCAAAACACAATAAAATTTGAAAAATAAAGTACACAGAATAAAAACTTAATGGTTGTATGATACATCCATTAATTAAAAATAAATTTATATAAATAAATAAATAAACATGAATGAAAGTTACTAAAAAAATCTAATATCCAGAGAATTGAAAAGTGCTAATGTTTTTGCCCCTTCTCTTTTCCCTCTTCTTACATCCCCTCCCCTGTTCACACATGTATGGCAATCCCCCATTGTTTCAGCAGCTGGGGGATTAGTTTGTCTGATGTTCAACATGAACGAAAACATTAGCACTTTTCAACTTCACTGCTGGATATTAGGTGTTTTTTTAGTGACTTTACTTCAAGTATATCCAACAGAATACTACCACTCAAAAAAGTGGTAAATTTATACGTATACACATTTAATATTTATTTATTATTCTTGTATTTACATAGACAAAGGAGCCTCCCTTGGCCTCTGCTATCCAGAGCCTCTTGTATCTTTGCATGGACCTGCATTAAAGCTACACTGAAACCATTAAATATTCCATTCTACAGATATTGGTCCCAGATAGTCAGATGTCTATTGTAATGAAAAAGTAGCATTTATTTAAAATACTTACTTCCTGAAGGTTCAACATTAAGAGTTATTTTATTTCCTAGTTTATATTCATTTCGAAATACAGAAGTGGCACTGCAAGCGTAAGTGGCATCATCCAAAGCATCTGCTTTTGTCACGTTTGAAAAATGTAAATTACCAGTAGGATCCACAGTTATTCTGGAACTAAATTTTTAAAGTAGAATCTCTATTACTAATTATTATTGACTAAAATATCTAAATTATGAAAAATTTACTTAAAATACTTCAAATTTTTCCCTATTGGTCATAAATACTACTATTATCCTATAGAATAAATATAATTATAATAATGATATTGCATAAATACTATTAAATTAATATATTTTTGTAATTAAAATAATGTTTTAAAACAGTTCAATGATGAAAAAATATACAATAGAATACATCAATTCATAATATTAAATACAAGTGCATCATCATAAAAAATATTAAAACAGGTTTAGTCAAAGTTTCATAATAGTTACAAAAACTAATAATTTATTCATTTTTATACAAATTAATAAAATGGTAATATTAATTGTTCTATAATATACAATTACAATTGCTTCTCATTTTTCTTATTAGCCTTACTCTTTTCCCAACAGAGTATTTTCTACTATATACTTCATGTAACTTTTTTATGTAAAATAAAGAAGTTGTAATCTGACAACCATATTTTGTTGATTATATTTGCCATATCCTATAGTCCCCTTTGCATCCACCATATACAGACAAGCAATTAACATTGTTTGTCCTAAGGGGATCCAGTTCATTAAAATTGATTAATAGTATATGCACCAGTGAATTGTCTATTAATGTAAGAAAACTACAATGATGACCCAAATAATGACAGTGTCTACAGGAATGGTGATGTAACCATGCCCCAGAACATGTAGACTCTCAATTCATTCATATTGTATACAGAGAAGTAATTATTTGATCACCAACATCATATTCAAAGTGAAAATCATACATTAAATTATTCCAACACCACATTTATATTTTTTCAGATAACTTATGAAAATACCACAAGGAGAGTATGAACAAGGTAAGGAGACAATGGTTGACATCAGCACAATCCAAATTCCCCCATATAACTTTGGAGATCAGATCCTGTCTTGTTATTTTCCATTTGCAAAAGCACCTTTCTTTTGGGTACACCAAAGGCAATCAGAGAGCATTATGAAGTATAATTACATAGTCACTTCTTTACCACCAGAAGAAGTTTTGATGGTATACGACATCATAATCAATCCAAACAAAGTAGACTCATACAGTAATTTAAAAACAGAATTATCAGTCAATGGAATCATTGTCCACACAAATTTGAAAATTTCTAGCCTGTGAACCAATGGGAGATAGATACCCACCAGAACCCAAATAGCAAAATAGAATAATAAATGTCAACCTAACACAAATAAACTCAGTTACTCAGCCTCCATGCCCATCAGAAACAGAATTACAATTACACATGGAAATTGAACAGTTGAACAGACAGAGTCATTAACCTGTTCCCACATGTCAAGGAATTGTCAACATCACCAGATGTGTAGCATATTGCAGAACAAGTCAGAGGTTTCAGTTGGTTCATAGAAAATTTGGCACCAAAGCAATAAAATGAAGAAAATGCAGCCCCCATAATTTTATAAAAAAATAAATTAATTAAGGAGTAGCGGTAACATACACCTTTCCATCTAAATCTTGCCACCTGTTCATCTAGGACAATCAATCAAAAGTACAGTTCTTTATCAGATGTCTCCATTATTTCTACTCCATTGGCACTAAGAGGGGCACAGCCTAATATGACTGTCAGCAACTAACATATCATCTGTTCAAATATACAGGCAACAAAAAATAAAACTTGATTTCAGTCTTGGAAAGAAATTCACTTGGATGTTCCTAGAAAGCACACTAACAAAACCAATAATAGGGGCAGACTTTTTATTTCATTTTGATTTATTCCTGATCTTCAATGGAAGTGTTTATGTCAAATCAATCAAAGCCAAACAATTGTTGTAATGAATCAGGCTATTTTTTCACTACTATTAATAATTAAATTCTAAATAACTTAGTACTAGAGGTAGACATTAGGCACCATCTCTTATTAAATTTAATAATTATAATTAAATTAATATTTATTAAATAATTTAGAATATTCTGGAAGAAAAGAATTGGCCAAAAGTGGAACTTGAATCCACAACTCCTATTTACTGTGCAGATATATTGCTAGTTACACTACCCAGACCTCCATAGGCCACGATAATGAATCTAGCTCTTTTTCCATTACCATAATCATTTGGCTTTGATTAATAACTTCAGGCTTTGAGATGTTTATATACATATGTAAGTGTAAAGCGATGGCTGACTGAGTGCCATAGTGGGTGATTTTAGGTCATAGACATAGAAATAATCCCCAGTTGTCATCATGAGTAACTGTGGATGATTATATCTAAAATTAAATATGTCTGGAAGCAAAGAGTTGTATGGAGGTCCGAGTAGCATAATTGGCAACACATTTGCAAGGTAAAAGAGTTGTGAGTTTGAGTGTTGCTCCAGGCCTATTCTTTTCTTCCAGAATATTCTAAATTATTTAATAAATATTAATTTTTTATAATTATTAAATTTAATAAGAGATTGTGCCTAACACTTACTTCTAGTACCAAATTACTTAGAATTTAATTATTAATAGTAGCAGAAAAATAGCCTGATTCATTACAGCAATTATTTGACTTTGATTAATAGCATTGGACTTTGAGATGTTTATATATGTATGACAAATAACCAAACTAAATTCACATTGTGAAACAGGAGTCACTTCCATTCACTCACTCCAAGTCATCCAGAGTGACATGGTTTTCCACAACCTATTATAAAAGTTTCACAGCATCACCAGACCTCCACAATATGGACAACCAGTGATACACTTAATGGTCCATTACATAGACACTCTTTGGCCCACCAGCAAGAGCACAACCTAGCTGTCTAGTCCCCGATTGATTAAGAATCACTAGCAGGAAATACAGCATATGCTAGATATGGGACAGCCATCCTTCCAACAGCAACTATGCCTCTCCACTCCATATGATAAAAAAGATAGAGGATGGAAAGCAGCAACTGTTAAGAGACTACAGAGCTCTCAATGCCCTAACAAAAAAGGATAGATATAGTGTATCTTTTGGGAATAAGATCTTGAAAATAGAATTATTTTATTCGTAACTTGGGTATAGACTGGTACAAGCACAGTGCACATGTCAAGAGAGTCCTCCAGAAAAAAAAAGACTAAAAAGTGGGACATGATGAAGTGTTTCCAGGTTGGCCATATACTCCCTCCCCAATTCCCCAATGACAATGCTCAGCAACTTAGGAGGGAAATGTACAGTTCATCCAAAACAAGTTGTCAGTGGGCAGGGTGCCTGATTTTCTGTGGTCTCATCCAGTGAGTGGTTGTTTCTGTCCACGAGTCCATAGTCATTGTTGGAGAGTGGTAGCAGGATAGTTGTGTCCTTCAGAAAAATGTAAAGACTAAAAAGTGTGATGCGCTGAAGTGTTATGGCATGTTGGTCACAATCTAATTTGATAAATTTCATGGTACAAAGATTTTCTTCCATACAGACCTAGTGAAAGCATGTAATTAAATTCCAATACAGCCATCAGATGTGCACAAGACAGCCCTCACATCATTTGGGTTGTTCAAAAGCACAAGGTTATAATTCTGCCTCTGTAATGAGGCAGCAACAATTCATTGTTTCATTGATGAGGTAACAAGAGTCTTAAGGATCATCTATGCCTTTATATATATACTGCAGGGTTTAGATTGTATTTTATTATTTTTTCATGTCAATAAATGGTTTAAAAACAAAAAAATTATTAACTAATAAAATGAATTTTTTATTAAAAAGCTAATGTATAAATAATACAGAAGGTAAAACTTTGTTCAAAATACGAGGGTAGTCCCAGAAGTATCCAACCTAACAAAGAAGACAAAAAATTTGGGAAAACATATCTTTATTTCTCACCATACTCTCCTTTTAGCTCAATACACTTTTCTCAGCAATGTTCAATAGCTTCAATACTCTGTTTATAGTGAGAACCATCGAGCTTCTCAAAATAGCCATCAACCGCAGACTCCACCTCTTCATTGTTAGTAAATCTTTTACCACTGAGCCATTTTTTTCAAGTTTGGAAAGAGAAAATAATCCAAGGGGGCTAAATCTGGGAAATACAATGCATGAGGAAGCAATTCAAACCTTAACTCATTGATTTTGGCCATTGCAATAACAGATATGTGAATTGATGCATTGTCTTGATGAAACAACAATTTCTTTTTTGTCAAATGCAACCATTTTTTCTTGATTTAATCACTCAAACACTGCAACAAGATAAGTTTGCATAATATTCGCTATTGATTGTTTTTCCTTTTTAAAGATAATCAATGAAAATTAACCCACATGCATCCCAAAAAACTGACTCCATGACTTTGCCAGCAGATGGAACTGTCTTCACCTTCTCCGGAGCCAATTCTTCCCTTTCAGTCCATTGTTTCAACTGTTCTTTTGTCTCAGGTGTGAAGTGATGGACCCATGTTTCAAAACATCGCCAAACACTTGATTGAATCATCCTCATAATGCTGTTTTTGTTCCATTGTGAGCAAACGTGACACCCATCTTGCACACATCTTTCTCATGTCCAAATTTTCAGTCAAAATGCAATGCACAACACTTTTTGAAATGCCAACCATGTCTGCTAGCTCTTGCACTTTGAGTCGATGGTCATCCAATACCATTTTGTGGATTTTCTTCACCATCTCTGGCATGGCACCTCATTTGGTAAACTACTGCAATATTCTTCTTGGCAGCATGTATGACCTCATTTAAACCCTGCCATCCAATATTTTATTGTTGTAAATGAGGGAGCAGACTCCTCCAGAGTAGAATCTAGCTCAGCTTTGATATTGATTGAACCAAGATCTTTCAAATGAAAGTATTGTATCACATAATGATGAACAATTTTTTCCATGTTTACAAATTCACTGAGATTGTTCACTATTGATGACTGTCAAACAAATACTAAACAAAGTAGTGTCTTCAAACTTCAAACTTAAGCTTTATAAGGTTGGTACTTTCAACCGCAGTAAGTTTTTCAAACAACTACCACCATCTATATATACATCAGGTTGGGTACTTCTGGTACGACCCTCATAGGATAAATTTATGGTAAATTAAAAACTTAGCATATGCACAAACTGTATTTACTATTGGAGCAATTGAAAACTAAGTTTGCTATATTGATGAATAAACTATACTCTAATATTAACACTTCAAATAATAATATAAAATTAGAACAAATATGTATCAAGTATATATCATTTGGAACATAATACTGAATACCTTTCATCTCAAATGAACTTATTTTAATATATTTACTCACAATGATAATAGTATCAATAAACAAAAATTTAAGATTACATGCACATCTTACGTGCATATGCATAAAATCACATCTTTATTTTGATTACCGATATCAAGCCATTGGTACAAAGAGATATGAAAACATTTCAATTTTATTATAGTAGTAATTACATAAATAAAGATATTTTATTACAACTTACTCATTAATGGTTCTCAAAGATCCTGTGTTTGATTGTATTATCCAAAATAAAGTAGGTGTTGGATATCCTAATGGTGTATCACAATCAAGTGTTAAAGGATCACCTTCCATAACATAAACATCTCTAGATTCCTCATCAGCAAAAGAATTCAATTCTATAAACATTAAAAATGTGTTATAAAATTAAAAAATAAATAATTAAGTAATCTAAATATAAATTCAGTTATAGTATTAAACAGTATCTAATCTAGTAATACAAACCTTCAGATTAATTTAAAATATTTGTATATGAAAAAACTATATAAGAAGTGATTCAAAAAGGATTTTACAACTTTGAAAGCATGTAGAATTTTAATCAGAACACTTACAGAATCAAATGAGCAACAGTCAGATAGCCAAGGGTTAAAGGTGCGAGTCTACTGCTCTGTGGTACCCAGAAATTAATATGGACAGGTTGAAAAATCCAGAAATTTTTTGGAAGTGGTTTATCTCAGATATGTAAGAGAGATGGGGTGGCCCTTATACCACTCACACCATCTCACTTAGCCACCTTATTGCAGGCCTAGTTGAACCCATAATAGACTTGATAAATAAGTCCTAAAAGAGTCTTTTGATCAAGAGCCAAAAAGAATTAAAAAAATAAAAATGATCCAGGAGTTAATTCAGAGCAAAGTGTATCAATTTTATCTTGAGCAGTCATTTTAATTTAATATGAGCAGTTGATAATACGGCAAACAGTTCACTTCAGTTCAATTTCTTGCCAAACTCAAAGCATATCATATGTTGTCACTTTATTAACTGCAAAAGTAATTGAAGTTCATTTTACCATTGCAATGAAATTTTAATTCGTTACCAAAGTTAATGTTGTCCAGGAATGTTTTGTCTTCTACAATCAAATGCAACATTTCTGCACTATGTGAGATAAACTTGAAACAATACTACAAGTAAAAAATAATAAACCGATAGACAGTATTAAATTTTTATTAAAGTTTTTGGTGTTGCAAGAAACAATTTTTGAGATAAACTTGATGTGTTTTGTTATAAATTAATACCTAATGAATAATATAAGTTTTTTGATTATATCTTTGAAAGAATGTAGATATTAAAGGTCTTTTTGAATCACCTCATACAGTATATTGATTTTTTTTTATACAACTAACTTTANAATTTACCTGTATGTTTTTATGATAGTTTTCTGTATAGTTGACAGGAGTTTTAAAAAATCCGTTAAAATATTTGATATATTTATTCCGCTCTCCAATTTTATATTACTCACGGATTTCAATGTTAAACCAGTGATATTATGATTTCGTATGTCCTATCTTTAAGGGAATGTAGAAAAAAAACGTGTACAATTCTTGTATAATGTTAAAAAATTAACTGTTACTTTGATAGCATAATTTACAACTAAATTTAATGAATGAGAGAGATGAACAACGTACAGAAAAAGCTCTAGAATTTATTTTCCTTAAATTTACGATTTATGTATCCGTTTGTCATAAAAATTTCTTTCCACTTTTTCCCAAGACTACAAATATTTGAGTACAAAGTAACTGGTTTTGACTTATTTCTACTTAAGAAGTAGTTAAATAATTAAACGATTAGGGAATTGGAGACATAAACAAAACCCTTATGAAAGAGCCAAAATTTTACTTAAACTGACTGCCTAATTGAACCAATCTCTAGCCGAGTACAGTAGGACTGATTTCTTTGAAATACAGTAGACCCCCCCCTATAACGCTTAGATACGTTCCACACTAATCGAATTTTACGTTGTAGGAATGATTAAATACATGAGCCAATCGCAGCCCGATAGATGTGAACTTTACAGACTAAGGCTGTTTGAAAGGCTTTCTTCTATAAAATTAACCGATTCTAGACTAATTCCACTCAACATTTCCAAAACACATATAATTTTTTGGGAATAATCTGTATAAACTATGCTATAAACAAAAAATTATAGGATTACTTACCAAGTGTGTACCATTCGACTATGCCGTTGCTCAAAGCTTGCTTTCATCGCGGAACAGCACACAAAACGGTGGCCGCAATTTCTGATAACAAATTTTTCGCAGAAAAATAACTTGACCTTTGGAGACATCATTAATATAAATAATTTTTATGGACGTTGAATAAGAANATTCGACATTGCCATTGCTCAACATTGTTTTCGTCGCGGAACAGCTCAGCAAAGAGCGGCCGATTTCTAACAACTTATTTTTCTGTGAAAACTTCGTAGAACTTCGGAGACATCATTAATATAAATAATTTTAATCGCCGTTGAATAAGAAATGTTTCTTTCACAAGAAATGTATAAAATTACAGTACTGTATTAGACTTACGGTACCTAATTTACATACTCTACAGACGATAGTTAGCGTAAAAATCTCCGTAACGTGGCGCCATGCTAGACGGCAGAAATTATATATTTAATTATAATAAAGTTACAATAAGTTAATATATAATTATATATACAGTACCTAATTTATATATAATTAATATATAATTATATGTACAGTACCTAATTTATATATAATTTATATATAATACTGTACAGACGATAGCAAACTCAATTTAGCCACGCTGTAGCATGGCGCAGGGCGGAGGAAAGTAGTTCGGCTGCTCATCCACTATTGGTCCAGATTCTATCAATCTTGTCGCGAAACGAGTCAGTGACGACATTTTAGGAGCTCCTTTATACGTATGTTGCTACAATTTTTTCGCTATGTTACAGGAATTGTTGTTATAGGAACGCACGTTATAGGGGAGTCGACTGTATTAAATGTAATAAAGACAGACATTTTTCCAGTTCAACGAGAGTGACTGAAAAGTTCATGGACAACACCTGGTCCTAAAATGAATTAGTTAGAAAACAAACGATGGACAATCTATTAAGTTTAACATATTTAGACTTTTATAGCTATGGTGAGAAACGTTTAAAATTTACAACCCTGTCGCATCTTTTGAAGTATATTAGTGATGCGACAAAAGAAGCATTTGAAATTGACCAGTATCGGCACCCTCNCCATGAAAAGCTGCAAATTTCCCACCAATGGGTTAAGTCAAAGAGTATAAATTACATAATGAACATTATAATAATATTTTATTCACACTTATACATTATAACAATATTAGAGTCATATGATATATGATGTATTATATGTTCCTTATGCAACCTGCAATACATCATATGGCATAATGAGTCCTTCTGAACCTGGATGTAACCTTCCAATTACAAAAGGTTTTCCACCTCTGACAATCTTTTAGTGTGCTATATTCACAAATTAAAAAACAAAAGTTCTAAATGTTTGTTTTTGAACAGAAAATTTTGTCTGTTAAATTCAAAGTCCATTTAAATTGGAGTCTATGTCAAAGATCTTCTGTGTAATGAAACTGTAATTGTAAGAAGCACTAGCACATATCATTATCCCATCCAAAACAATCTGTAGAAAAATGTTACAAAAATTTTTTAGATAAGAATTTTAATTACATACATTATATTTGGACCATGCAAATGGGATGCTCTGAATATGCCTAGATTGGGAAATGTGTCCTAATCTAGGAGCCCCAAAACACAATAAAATTTGAAAAATAAAGTACACAGAATAAAAACTTAATGGTTGTATGATACATCCATTAATTAAAAATAAATTTATATAAATAAATAAATAAACATGAATGAAAGTTACTAAAAAAATCTAATATCCAGAGAATTGAAAAGTGCTAATGTTTTTGCCCCTTCTCTTTTCCCTCTTCTTACATCCCCTCCCCTGTTCACACATGTATGGCAATCCCCCATTGTTTCAGCAGCTGGGGGATTAGTTTGTCTGATGTTCAACATGAACGAAAACATTAGCACTTTTCAACTTCACTGCTGGATATTAGGTGTTTTTTTAGTGACTTTACTTCAAGTATATCCAACAGAATACTACCACTCAAAAAAGTGGTAAATTTATACGTATACACATTTAATATTTATTTATTATTCTTGTATTTACATAGACAAAGGAGCCTCCCTTGGCCTCTGCTATCCAGAGCCTCTTGTATCTTTGCATGGACCTGCATTAAAGCTACACTGAAACCATTAAATATTCCATTCTACAGATATTGGTCCCAGATAGTCAGATGTCTATTGTAATGAAAAAGTAGCATTTATTTAAAATACTTACTTCCTGAAGGTTCAACATTAAGAGTTATTTTATTTCCTAGTTTATATTCATTTCGAAATACAGAAGTGGCACTGCAAGCGTAAGTGGCATCATCCAAAGCATCTGCTTTTGTCACGTTTGAAAAATGTAAATTACCAGTAGGATCCACAGTTATTCTGGAACTAAATTTTTAAAGTAGAATCTCTATTACTAATTATTATTGACTAAAATATCTAAATTATGAAAAATTTACTTAAAATACTTCAAATTTTTCCCTATTGGTCATAAATACTACTATTATCCTATAGAATAAATATAATTATAATAATGATATTGCATAAATACTATTAAATTAATATATTTTTGTAATTAAAATAATGTTTTAAAACAGTTCAATGATGAAAAAATATACAATAGAATACATCAATTCATAATATTAAATACAAGTGCATCATCATAAAAAATATTAAAACAGGTTTAGTCAAAGTTTCATAATAGTTACAAAAACTAATAATTTATTCATTTTTATACAAATTAATAAAATGGTAATATTAATTGTTCTATAATATACAATTACAATTGCTTCTCATTTTTCTTATTAGCCTTACTCTTTTCCCAACAGAGTATTTTCTACTATATACTTCATGTAACTTTTTTATGTAAAATAAAGAAGTTGTAATCTGACAACCATATTTTGTTGATTATATTTGCCATATCCTATAGTCCCCTTTGCATCCACCATATACAGACAAGCAATTAACATTGTTTGTCCTAAGGGGATCCAGTTCATTAAAATTGATTAATAGTATATGCACCAGTGAATTGTCTATTAATGTAAGAAAACTACAATGATGACCCAAATAATGACAGTGTCTACAGGAATGGTGATGTAACCATGCCCCAGAACATGTAGACTCTCAATTCATTCATATTGTATACAGAGAAGTAATTATTTGATCACCAACATCATATTCAAAGTGAAAATCATACATTAAATTATTCCAACACCACATTTATATTTTTTCAGATAACTTATGAAAATACCACAAGGAGAGTATGAACAAGGTAAGGAGACAATGGTTGACATCAGCACAATCCAAATTCCCCCATATAACTTTGGAGATCAGATCCTGTCTTGTTATTTTCCATTTGCAAAAGCACCTTTCTTTTGGGTACACCAAAGGCAATCAGAGAGCATTATGAAGTATAATTACATAGTCACTTCTTTACCACCAGAAGAAGTTTTGATGGTATACGACATCATAATCAATCCAAACAAAGTAGACTCATACAGTAATTTAAAAACAGAATTATCAGTCAATGGAATCATTGTCCACACAAATTTGAAAATTTCTAGCCTGTGAACCAATGGGAGATAGATACCCACCAGAACCCAAATAGCAAAATAGAATAATAAATGTCAACCTAACACAAATAAACTCAGTTACTCAGCCTCCATGCCCATCAGAAACAGAATTACAATTACACATGGAAATTGAACAGTTGAACAGACAGAGTCATTAACCTGTTCCCACATGTCAAGGAATTGTCAACATCACCAGATGTGTAGCATATTGCAGAACAAGTCAGAGGTTTCAGTTGGTTCATAGAAAATTTGGCACCAAAGCAATAAAATGAAGAAAATGCAGCCCCCATAATTTTATAAAAAAATAAATTAATTAAGGAGTAGCGGTAACATACACCTTTCCATCTAAATCTTGCCACCTGTTCATCTAGGACAATCAATCAAAAGTACAGTTCTTTATCAGATGTCTCCATTATTTCTACTCCATTGGCACTAAGAGGGGCACAGCCTAATATGACTGTCAGCAACTAACATATCATCTGTTCAAATATACAGGCAACAAAAAATAAAACTTGATTTCAGTCTTGGAAAGAAATTCACTTGGATGTTCCTAGAAAGCACACTAACAAAACCAATAATAGGGGCAGACTTTTTATTTCATTTTGATTTATTCCTGATCTTCAATGGAAGTGTTTATGTCAAATCAATCAAAGCCAAACAATTGTTGTAATGAATCAGGCTATTTTTTCACTACTATTAATAATTAAATTCTAAATAACTTAGTACTAGAGGTAGACATTAGGCACCATCTCTTATTAAATTTAATAATTATAATTAAATTAATATTTATTAAATAATTTAGAATATTCTGGAAGAAAAGAATTGGCCAAAAGTGGAACTTGAATCCACAACTCCTATTTACTGTGCAGATATATTGCTAGTTACACTACCCAGACCTCCATAGGCCACGATAATGAATCTAGCTCTTTTTCCATTACCATAATCATTTGGCTTTGATTAATAACTTCAGGCTTTGAGATGTTTATATACATATGTAAGTGTAAAGCGATGGCTGACTGAGTGCCATAGTGGGTGATTTTAGGTCATAGACATAGAAATAATCCCCAGTTGTCATCATGAGTAACTGTGGATGATTATATCTAAAATTAAATATGTCTGGAAGCAAAGAGTTGTATGGAGGTCCGAGTAGCATAATTGGCAACACATTTGCAAGGTAAAAGAGTTGTGAGTTTGAGTGTTGCTCCAGGCCTATTCTTTTCTTCCAGAATATTCTAAATTATTTAATAAATATTAATTTTTTATAATTATTAAATTTAATAAGAGATTGTGCCTAACACTTACTTCTAGTACCAAATTACTTAGAATTTAATTATTAATAGTAGCAGAAAAATAGCCTGATTCATTACAGCAATTATTTGACTTTGATTAATAGCATTGGACTTTGAGATGTTTATATATGTATGACAAATAACCAAACTAAATTCACATTGTGAAACAGGAGTCACTTCCATTCACTCACTCCAAGTCATCCAGAGTGACATGGTTTTCCACAACCTATTATAAAAGTTTCACAGCATCACCAGACCTCCACAATATGGACAACCAGTGATACACTTAATGGTCCATTACATAGACACTCTTTGGCCCACCAGCAAGAGCACAACCTAGCTGTCTAGTCCCCGATTGATTAAGAATCACTAGCAGGAAATACAGCATATGCTAGATATGGGACAGCCATCCTTCCAACAGCAACTATGCCTCTCCACTCCATATGATAAAAAAGATAGAGGATGGAAAGCAGCAACTGTTAAGAGACTACAGAGCTCTCAATGCCCTAACAAAAAAGGATAGATATAGTGTATCTTTTGGGAATAAGATCTTGAAAATAGAATTATTTTATTCGTAACTTGGGTATAGACTGGTACAAGCACAGTGCACATGTCAAGAGAGTCCTCCAGAAAAAAAAAGACTAAAAAGTGGGACATGATGAAGTGTTTCCAGGTTGGCCATATACTCCCTCCCCAATTCCCCAATGACAATGCTCAGCAACTTAGGAGGGAAATGTACAGTTCATCCAAAACAAGTTGTCAGTGGGCAGGGTGCCTGATTTTCTGTGGTCTCATCCAGTGAGTGGTTGTTTCTGTCCACGAGTCCATAGTCATTGTTGGAGAGTGGTAGCAGGATAGTTGTGTCCTTCAGAAAAATGTAAAGACTAAAAAGTGTGATGCGCTGAAGTGTTATGGCATGTTGGTCACAATCTAATTTGATAAATTTCATGGTACAAAGATTTTCTTCCATACAGACCTAGTGAAAGCATGTAATTAAATTCCAATACAGCCATCAGATGTGCACAAGACAGCCCTCACATCATTTGGGTTGTTCAAAAGCACAAGGTTATAATTCTGCCTCTGTAATGAGGCAGCAACAATTCATTGTTTCATTGATGAGGTAACAAGAGTCTTAAGGATCATCTATGCCTTTATATATATACTGCAGGGTTTAGATTGTATTTTATTATTTTTTCATGTCAATAAATGGTTTAAAAACAAAAAAATTATTAACTAATAAAATGAATTTTTTATTAAAAAGCTAATGTATAAATAATACAGAAGGTAAAACTTTGTTCAAAATACGAGGGTAGTCCCAGAAGTATCCAACCTAACAAAGAAGACAAAAAATTTGGGAAAACATATCTTTATTTCTCACCATACTCTCCTTTTAGCTCAATACACTTTTCTCAGCAATGTTCAATAGCTTCAATACTCTGTTTATAGTGAGAACCATCGAGCTTCTCAAAATAGCCATCAACCGCAGACTCCACCTCTTCATTGTTAGTAAATCTTTTACCACTGAGCCATTTTTTTCAAGTTTGGAAAGAGAAAATAATCCAAGGGGGCTAAATCTGGGAAATACAATGCATGAGGAAGCAATTCAAACCTTAACTCATTGATTTTGGCCATTGCAATAACAGATATGTGAATTGATGCATTGTCTTGATGAAACAACAATTTCTTTTTTGTCAAATGCAACCATTTTTTCTTGATTTAATCACTCAAACACTGCAACAAGATAAGTTTGCATAATATTCGCTATTGATTGTTTTTCCTTTTTAAAGATAATCAATGAAAATTAACCCACATGCATCCCAAAAAACTGACTCCATGACTTTGCCAGCAGATGGAACTGTCTTCACCTTCTCCGGAGCCAATTCTTCCCTTTCAGTCCATTGTTTCAACTGTTCTTTTGTCTCAGGTGTGAAGTGATGGACCCATGTTTCAAAACATCGCCAAACACTTGATTGAATCATCCTCATAATGCTGTTTTTGTTCCATTGTGAGCAAACGTGACACCCATCTTGCACACATCTTTCTCATGTCCAAATTTTCAGTCAAAATGCAATGCACAACACTTTTTGAAATGCCAACCATGTCTGCTAGCTCTTGCACTTTGAGTCGATGGTCATCCAATACCATTTTGTGGATTTTCTTCACCATCTCTGGCATGGCACCTCATTTGGTAAACTACTGCAATATTCTTCTTGGCAGCATGTATGACCTCATTTAAACCCTGCCATCCAATATTTTATTGTTGTAAATGAGGGAGCAGACTCCTCCAGAGTAGAATCTAGCTCAGCTTTGATATTGATTGAACCAAGATCTTTCAAATGAAAGTATTGTATCACATAATGATGAACAATTTTTTCCATGTTTACAAATTCACTGAGATTGTTCACTATTGATGACTGTCAAACAAATACTAAACAAAGTAGTGTCTTCAAACTTCAAACTTAAGCTTTATAAGGTTGGTACTTTCAACCGCAGTAAGTTTTTCAAACAACTACCACCATCTATATATACATCAGGTTGGGTACTTCTGGTACGACCCTCATAGGATAAATTTATGGTAAATTAAAAACTTAGCATATGCACAAACTGTATTTACTATTGGAGCAATTGAAAACTAAGTTTGCTATATTGATGAATAAACTATACTCTAATATTAACACTTCAAATAATAATATAAAATTAGAACAAATATGTATCAAGTATATATCATTTGGAACATAATACTGAATACCTTTCATCTCAAATGAACTTATTTTAATATATTTACTCACAATGATAATAGTATCAATAAACAAAAATTTAAGATTACATGCACATCTTACGTGCATATGCATAAAATCACATCTTTATTTTGATTACCGATATCAAGCCATTGGTACAAAGAGATATGAAAACATTTCAATTTTATTATAGTAGTAATTACATAAATAAAGATATTTTATTACAACTTACTCATTAATGGTTCTCAAAGATCCTGTGTTTGATTGTATTATCCAAAATAAAGTAGGTGTTGGATATCCTAATGGTGTATCACAATCAAGTGTTAAAGGATCACCTTCCATAACATAAACATCTCTAGATTCCTCATCAGCAAAAGAATTCAATTCTATAAACATTAAAAATGTGTTATAAAATTAAAAAATAAATAATTAAGTAATCTAAATATAAATTCAGTTATAGTATTAAACAGTATCTAATCTAGTAATACAAACCTTCAGATTAATTTAAAATATTTGTATATGAAAAAACTATATAAGAAGTGATTCAAAAAGGATTTTACAACTTTGAAAGCATGTAGAATTTTAATCAGAACACTTACAGAATCAAATGAGCAACAGTCAGATAGCCAAGGGTTAAAGGTGCGAGTCTACTGCTCTGTGGTACCCAGAAATTAATATGGACAGGTTGAAAAATCCAGAAATTTTTTGGAAGTGGTTTATCTCAGATATGTAAGAGAGATGGGGTGGCCCTTATACCACTCACACCATCTCACTTAGCCACCTTATTGCAGGCCTAGTTGAACCCATAATAGACTTGATAAATAAGTCCTAAAAGAGTCTTTTGATCAAGAGCCAAAAAGAATTAAAAAAATAAAAATGATCCAGGAGTTAATTCAGAGCAAAGTGTATCAATTTTATCTTGAGCAGTCATTTTAATTTAATATGAGCAGTTGATAATACGGCAAACAGTTCACTTCAGTTCAATTTCTTGCCAAACTCAAAGCATATCATATGTTGTCACTTTATTAACTGCAAAAGTAATTGAAGTTCATTTTACCATTGCAATGAAATTTTAATTCGTTACCAAAGTTAATGTTGTCCAGGAATGTTTTGTCTTCTACAATCAAATGCAACATTTCTGCACTATGTGAGATAAACTTGAAACAATACTACAAGTAAAAAATAATAAACCGATAGACAGTATTAAATTTTTATTAAAGTTTTTGGTGTTGCAAGAAACAATTTTTGAGATAAACTTGATGTGTTTTGTTATAAATTAATACCTAATGAATAATATAAGTTTTTTGATTATATCTTTGAAAGAATGTAGATATTAAAGGTCTTTTTGAATCACCTCATACAGTATATTGATTTTTTTTTATACAACTAACTTTAGTTATGTAATTCTCAATTAAATCTACATTAGGATTAATTTGAGTTCATAAAATCATTAATATACAAACAACTTAAGATTAAATAAAATATTAATTATTAAGAGTTTTAATAAACAAAATTTAATAATAAAAACTTAAGATTTTATTATAATGATACAAAAAATTCATACATTATTAACATAATAATAATAAATATTTATATGCTCTTATTGATTAAATACATGTAAATTTTCTGTACTTATTAATAATTAATCAATAACTTACCCATTATTTAACAAATCAAATTAAAAAAGCAATGTAATAATTTTTTTAATTTTATGTATTAAATATAATTAATATTTAATAAACATAAGCTAATTACATAAATTAAAAATACAATACATAAATTAAAAATTAATAATTAAATAATTGAGAGCTGTATGTTATTAGATAATACAATAGAAATGAATGATTTACATAAAGATGTTCTTATTAGAAAAGCTGTATTTGATAAATTAACACAGTATTCAATGTTTATAAAATAAAATAATAACTAAAATTTTTCACCAACATTTTAGTCTTAAGTAAAAAGCAATTTTATTAAGCTTTGTAAAGTAACAACAAGAAACAAGTTTAAAAAACAATATATTGTCAATATATCGTAAATGCCATAAATTAGATGATAGTGCTTAACAACTTTATTTCCATGATCTGCATATTCAATAACTATCAGCATTATATTTTTTATGCTGAATCATAAAATCCATTTTATGCTTCCAAGATACCATATCTTGGAAGCATAAAATGAATTTCATTGGAATAATATTATTCCTATTTGTACTATAATAAGTATTATCCATAAAATATTGATATATCATAAATATATCAATCAACAGATGCAGATCAGTGATCATATCAGTATATAATGAATTTCATCTAAGAAATTGAAATTGACATCCACATTTCATAGATGTGGATGTCAATTTCATAAATATGTAGTTATATTACAACCTAAATTTTTAATGTTAATACAGTTTAACTTACATGTTTTATTGCTAAAATATAGTTGTAAAGAAGCTGATGAGGGACTGTAGGTCTGAAATGCATACTTTCTTTGGAAAATAAATTGATGTTCTAAGGCTGATCTTGTGTCTAGAAATGGTGTAATAAGTCTAAGAATAAAGGGGCCAACATAGTGCTCACAAGTATATACCAAGCTAGACAAGAAGAATATTATAGTTTTTAACATTATTTTTCCTTCAGTAAAATTGCAATTTCATACTTAATTTTGTACAATGTAAATATAATTGTAATTTAACTTTGGCAGATGATTCAACGATTATACAATCATCTTTGGATGGATAACATTTTTTTTTTTTTGCATGTTTTATTTGTTCACATAGAGGGTACTATAATCCACAAGTGTATTTTCAGCTTGAAGGAAAATTATCATCTGTTAATATCATCATTTTTCAACACTTTGTATAATTCTTGCATTAACACATTCATAGATATGTGAAAAAATACATTATAAAAAATGCATTTTATTGTATACAGTAGAACCTCGATTATCCGCCCTAATTGGGGACTGGGGTTGGTCAGATAATTGAAAAGTCGGATAACCAAAAAGTATGAAAAAATCCATTATTAGTGTAGTATATTATTATATCCCATGTAATTAGTATATTAGTATATTAGTATATCGCTATTAACCTATTTTGCGTTGAATTTTCATCGATGTTAAGCCTAACAAAAATTTTTTAAAATAATAATCATCGCTATTGTATCGTTAAAAATTAGAAAATTAAGCTTCGTTTAAATACTGGCTCCCTTTCATGGTCAAATGAGTGTTGCCAGCTAAAACACGTAAAAATAATATTAAAGTAGCCAAGACATAGCCAAATATTGTAGCGCCACATCACTAGCGGACATTTGAAATTTGCCGACTAGGACGGTCGGTTAACCGAGGGGTCGGTTGATCGGAGGGCGGATAATCGAGGTTCTACTGTACAAACTTTCATTGTACTGTATGTGGTCAATAGATCTTTAAGATTATAAAAAATACAAAATTTTGATGTACAAAGCTGTACAAAATTTTTTGCAGTCGTTTACAGTTGTTAATTGTAATTAATTTTCTATTAACATGCCAATATAGAGAGGTAGTATTTTTTTACATATCTAAAGGTTTGAGTAATCAATTACAAATTTAAATTTAAACTTCCTACCCTGATGTAAAGGTTCCAAGATTATACCAACAAATATGACAGTATAAAACATTTAATTTCACAACCGAAGATTAGAAAGCAATTGTCACCACTCAAACACTTTCTTCAACTAATCAAGTTGAAATTCATTTTTGAACAGCAATTAACAATATAAGTGGGTTGTATCACATTGCCAATTTTGCAAATGGTTTGTCTGATGTATCAGCTATGTCTTTAAAAGGTTATAAGTAAGTATATTGTGTTATTTTATGGTTTTTGTCTTGCTAGATGCACAAAATCTTACATTGTGCACCAATTCTACACACTTCTCCCTCCAATCCCACTGAGCTTATTGCCCCTCTAGGCAACAAAGCAAACAGCAACCAGTGAAGAAAAGAAAAACACAAAGGTCTAGAAATATCTATTAATTGATGGCTCTTACATTTGCAGTCTAAAACAGTTTTGCAGTTTTAGACTACAAATGTAAGAGAAATCAATTCTAAAATGGACATCTACTTCAGATAAGTAAAAATATCAGTAAGTAAAAAAGTGAATCTTACAATCTAGAAAATATGGCATATTAGGTTAGGTTTTATTTAAGTTGAGGAATCATTAAAATACACTCTTTTTTTACTTTCTGTATTCAACAATCTTCTATTTTAGAAATATTAATTTAATCATGTTGAAAATATGGAAATATCACAATATTTGTACAGTACTATAATAAGTGTTATCCATAAAATATTGATATATCATAGATATATCAATCAGCAGATGCAGATCAGTGATCATATCAGTATATGATGAATTTTATCTTCTAAAGACTACAATATACTGATATTGTAGTTTTTGGACAACACAGAGTACTTGTACACAGAGTCTTTGTACACGGAGAACAAAAACAACATCTGTATAATCATCACTTAATCTTTGAAGAATGAGTGGAAATTTGTAAAGTTTCAAGAAAAAGATGCACTAAGCAATAAGTTGCTTTCTTCTTTGATAAATTTGTGACATATCACAAATATCTCATTAAAAATGTTGATATAAATTTGTTATCTTCACAACCCAAACAAAAACATTTAGAATTGTCTGAAATATATAATTTTTATGCCACTATGCATTGTAACTCCGATGTTTAATCAATATAATTTAATGACAGAATGGTCAGTCATTTATGGCCAATATCATGACAAACTGATTTTCCTAACTTCACATTTTGCTTTCTAATTACAAGTATCCAAAGTCTTGGTAAATCAATTATCTATTATATCTTGATATTCTCAAAAGCCTGGAAGTTCTAGAATCTCTGGTCATATAAATTAATTACATATTAAAAATATAAGAGACCTATTGTCCAAATGAAATATTTATCAACAGAACTTGTATTTAACAACTTTATCATGAACATTTTTTTTGTCTCATCAAAACAATTAACATTGTCTTTTATATCTCTGACATGAAAATATGAAATAATTTATTATTATTCTTTTTCTCCTATTATTTGAACATCTATCACATTTCATTCACTCACACCATTAGTATTGGTTACAGAGCAATATAGTTAAGATGTTAGGTGTATACAGGTAACCCCCGTATAACATGGCACTTCTATAGCACGGATTCACTCTAACACGGTTTGAGAATTGGTACCATCCCCGTATAACACGGTACTGTTATAGCACAGATTCACTCTGGCACGGTTCAAGAATTGGGTAAAACCCTCGTACAACAAGAAATGTAATAAATTTTTACATACTTAAGTAATAATAGTTCACGAAAAGTATTATTTTCGTAAACTATTAGTAC